CAATTTGGGGGGGTGTTAGAAGAATATGCTATCAAGTATTTGCAGATTTTGTGCTAGATTTTATTTTGCATGATTTTAGGCCTCTAGCTGGTCATTTAAAGCCTATGGATTTTCTTTTGTAAATATTTTATTATTTCGGTAATTAAGATGTAAACGAATCTATATATAGCTATTTTAGGGGTTGAAAATGAGCTTGTAATTAGTACATAAGTGGAATTCTACACTAAGAAAAACCACACCATTTTCTCCTAAACTCTCTTAAGTCTATCACCTGGTATGTGGATGCCCTTTGTATGAGCAGACGCACTCTATCTTCTTCTGTTGGCTTTTAAGCCCTCTGCTTTTGTTTAGCTTTTATAGCCTTCTACTTCTATGATCTTACCTACTTCTTATTCTACTAAGCATCTATGAGCCCCACAAGTAAAAAGGAAAGAAATTACTTAATAGGATAATACTATATAATAATGCACTTGTAAATTTATATTTTATGCTTTTAACTTATGTACTTAGATCCTTACGATTTATGTATCACATGTTGTTTTTACAAGATACCTTATGCTTTCAGCTTACAAATATGTAATCATGCTTTTAAATGATGATATATAACTTAAGTGTGTGAACTTATGATTTAATATGCTTAATATGATTATATGTGAAATATTTGCTTATGCATGAATGTTATCTCAAATGATTGTATAATATGAGTATGATTGTACGTTGTCATCGCAAGATTGGATGCATGAGATTATTGAGCACCACTGAGTTTTATACTCAAGGTATCGATATTTATCATGCACAGATTGTAAACCGAGGGTGTTGGTAAAGATCAACATCGGAGTTGAAGAGCTTCTTTTTGATAGTCTTTAATTTATGCTTTACATATGTATTTTGGAATATGGCCTGTAAACATTATATTATTTAGAGTTATATTAGACCAGGGTTATATATTAAGTTATATTCTTATGTATGATGATTAGGAATTATGGAACCTATGTATACTTAAGGTTATGGATTTTAAATTTAAGAATATATAGTCTAGATATATTAAGTCTATCTACTTCTTATCGTTATTGATGATTAGGAATTATGGCAACCTATTGTATAGCTTAAGGTTATGCGATTTTTAAATTAAAATATATATTATATACACGTAGGGATGATATAAGTAGTATTATAGTATACTTATACGTTATATATCATATATATATATGATACTACCTGACTAGGTATAGTTATATATAATGGCTTCCCCCTTCACTGCAAGTGTATCTATATTTCATTGATGAATGTATGAGCCATGAATGTTTATGTTGGCAGTTATATAATGCTTATGAATATTATATTTACATTGATAATGTATGAGATGAATGTATGTTGGAGTTTGATGGATGAATGTTAAGGATTGTGAATTAGAAGTGCTTTTGTTTAATAGGTTTTAGTTAAGTCAATTTTCTGTAGGATTTCTCAAATTATTTTCTAAGTTAAAATATGGACTTGCTAAACTTTTGCACTTGTAACACATCTAGTTCACATCTTTAAATTTAAGTTTGATCTGTATGCTAGGTTAGTGCCTCCGACACTGAATGTGGCATCCGCCTTCTATTCCTCCGATAATGGACGGAGGGTGTTATAGGTCAAGATTGAGGTTAAATAGGTTTGTACCATGAACAGGTCCCTAATTTATGACACGAATATAAATATATCGTGTCACAGGTTGACACACAAGTAAGGCGAATGACCCATTTATTTAAGAGTAAAGAGGTAATTTTAGTATCAGATATAAATACTCCAACTAAAATCTTATTCATTTTTCAAAAAAAAAAAAAAAGAAAAAAAACTCTATTTAAACTTTATTGTTGTAAAGAAAAAAACCTTGCTTAATTTCTCTAAACTTTAGTGTTGTTCTATTAATTTTTTTTTAATTTAAGAATCTTGAAAAACTCTCCTACCAGTTTATCGCATGAAAACTTTTATTTTAACTAACCTTCTGCAGCTTACACATAGAATTAAAAAACTTAACCAACCATCATTATTAAGCGCAGGCTTAAGTGGGTAAAAAAAAAAAAAAAGAAAAAAAACTCTATTTAAACTTTATTGTTGTATTAATTTTTTTTAATTAAGAATCTTGAAAAATCTTACAGTTTATGCATGAAAATTTTATTTTTAAATACAATTTGAGTTAAATAGATTAAAACTTAAAAATATTATAAGCAGGTTAAGTGGGTCGTTTACAGGTCAACACGACCCACATAACTTGCTTATGATTTTAGATGGGTTGTATACAGGTCAGCATGACCCACCTAATCTACTTATGATATTAGGTGGATTACATGTGTCGTGCTCGTGTCACCGCCTAATTTTTATCGTGTCAACAAATTTGACACGACTACTAAATGGATCGTGTTTATGTTGACCCTAATCGTGTAGCGTGTTTGGTGAATTTGTGCGGGGTTGAACACATCCAACTCATTTTGACATCTCTAATCCTAGATGCTTTCAAAGTGAAAGAGATAAATAAACATGATTTTTTTTTTTTCTAAACAACAAAGAAAAATAAGATGAAATGATTAAATAACAAAAATAAAATAAAATTATTATCTTCAATTGATTTTAAACTTAAAACTAGTCTTATAATTCCCATATTGAATTAATTAAAAGAAATAAATCTTTAGAATTTATTCAGTTGATTTTTCACACGCATATATTCTATATCATTAAACATATTGAACATTCACATATATGTTCCATAATTTTTTTGGGTAAAGTTTTATAACTTTTTATTGTATTATCAAATTACATAATTAGATAACTTCTAGTTTTTAATTTTAATTTTTATTTGATAATTAAAATTTTCAATAATTAATTGTTATGCTAAGTTTTGTCCTTAAAATATTTTAACTTATATATGTTTTTAAGTATAGTTATAAGATAAAAATATGTATATCATGCATAATAAGGTAATTCAAACGCAAGTACGATTTCCTCTTTCCTAATGCTGAAAAAATATATTTATATAATATTTTAAAAATAAAAAAATATACAATAAATTTTTTAACTAAACATATAATATTTTTAAATAATATTAATATCTTCGCGAACTAAATTTATTATTATTGTTGATGTCTGATGCAAAGTGGTTCGGAAAATAATAATACACTTATAATATTAATAATATTTTTTTCTCATCAAGTTGTTTGCAACTGTATTTAACAAATAATTATAAAAATAGAAAATACATTGTAGTTGAACCGAATTGATACGATTTAACCGGGTAATCGTGACTCAAATATTAAATTGGTTCGATTATGGATCCAGTTTGAAAAACATTTATATATAGATCACTTATATATTAAATTAATATAATAAAATCAATCTTTTAAGTCTTGTAGAAAATACGGAGAGCAGAAGATTTCAAACAGAATATTTCAATTTCTATATTTATATTTTTGTTATTCATATAGAAATATTATAATGATGTATTCGACTTATATTCATTATTATTGAATTATTAAATTTTAAAAAAAGATGTGAAGAGTAAAGATTTTGAGTTAGAGTTTTCTCTATTACAGAAATTTATCACCAATTTAGTAAATGTTATTCAAAATAGAGGACAAATCTTATTGTACAGCGCACATGTTTTTCCGGTCCTTTTAGCCTCTGTGTATCTAAAAAGTCTAAATTACCCGTGGAAAATTATTTCTTAAATACCATCTCTACCCTTCTTTCATCCCAATTTCAGTTTTCCTAAATTGCTACCATCTCTGGAGCAGATTCAAAAGGAGGCAGATATTTGAATGGAGTCCAGCTTCAAATCGAAGTCCTGGTTCATCAATCATCAAGTAAGCAACTCGTGCTCACTGCTTTTCTCATGAATAGTCTTAATAGACTGAGAGAAGAAGAAGAAGAAGACCAGATGAGTAATGAATAAAGTAGACTTTGACAGAGCCACAAACAACGGCAGCTCCCTCAAATCTATTTCTCTTGATCATTTTGCCGATTTCTTTTCTTTTTTTTTTCCTGTTAAAGTTTCTTGGTTTCAATTTTTTTATATTTTTGTTAACTTCTTTTTTTTTTCTTTTTTTTTTTTTTTTTCCTGTTAAATTTCTTGGTTTTCAATTTTTTTATATTTTTGTAACTTCTTTTTTTTCTTCTTTTTTTTTTTTTTCTTTTGTTGAGTAGGGATACAGAAACGACGCGATGGGGAGATGGTTTTCTAATCAATTTTTGTTTTTTTTTTTCTTTAATTGGGGAAAAAAGAGGTAGAACACCCAAAAAAAATTTAAATCCCTTTTGTATTATTAATTTCCATTTTTTAAATAACTTTTGTTCGTCTAATATGTATAAAACTACAAGCCAAGAAGCAGATAAAATAAGTTATATTCTGAAATTTCTTATAATTTCAGTTCAAATTCAATATATGGCTAGTTTCCTGTTCTAGTTTTTTTTTTTTTTTTTTTTTTTTTTGTTGGGGATAAGAAAGAGATGAGATGTTTAAATTTTTTTTTTTTTTCTTAATTGGGAAAAAAGAGGTTAGAACACAAAAAAAATTAAATCCTTTGTTATTATTATTTCATTTTAAATAACTTTTGTTTCTAATTGTTAGAGAAATACAAGAAAAGATAAAATAAGTTTATGAAATTCTAATTTCAGTTCAAATTCAATATATGCTAGTCCTGTCTAGTTTTTTTCATTGTTGAACTCAACTATTTTGTTATTTTTCTGACTATCAACCATGAGGCTAGAAAACTTCGTTGTTTATTGCTGTAATTTGTTACAGATGAAGACGTCCCAAAAACAAGAATGAATATGTTAATTAAGCAATTTAGACTTTTCAAATCGGTATAATGGAAAGAAGGCTATTTTTAGACGGAGGGACTTCATAATAAGACGGAGACAGAAGTTAGGATCTTCAGAGTTATTTCATCAAACTAGAGAGATTTAAGTATTAGTTGAACCATAACTTACGAATCTTAATGTATTTTTCCCTAGTAATAATAAACTGTGACAATTGGTAACTGCATTAGTGTATAGGAGGACCCAAATGCAATTCTTATCCTAATAATTTAATTAGTCCTTCCAACAATGTTGCAATTGCACCGTCCAATAAAGTAACACATTAATTTACACATACTTGATTCTTTCAGATTTCGTATCTAGATATCTGAGCTCCATCTTCTTCTAAAGACAATTACTTCAACGGCTAAATGAGACCTCCTTAGTATTACTAAATCACTTCATTCCAAGTAATACAGAAAGAAGCTAAATTAAGAGTTCATGGCTGCTGTCCGAAGATAAAGGTGTTGGAGGGAACTAAATCCTGCAATTGACCAAAATCAGGCAGATGAAGATGCTGATGTGGAGCATTTATATATTGATAGAACAAGGCATTATCATCTTTGTTATTTGGCAGAAGGAAGCGGGCTAGAAATTCCAGAGGAAAGCTTGTATTGACGATTGACGATGTTGATGCAAGAAGCAAAGGTGACCGTGTTCCACCTGCAGTCGCTGGGCATTGATGGTTATGTTGCCCTTCATATGTTGTGATAACAATTGATGGGTCTTCGACTGATTTTTCTATCCGTTTCTTGACTCTGCATTTCTGGCTGGTGCATCTATAATAACTTCTGCAAAAGCAACCAACCAATATTAGTAATCAGATGTGTTTTGGTTGGTTTTTTCACTTATGTGAAGAGAGGAGGTCTCAAGTTTGAATCTCCCGATCACGAGTGTTTTCATGAAGTTTGTGAGTCCAGAAAATAGTTGTTGCACAGTTGTTTCAGCTCATCAGGTCATGAATAAAAAAAAATATTAGGATATGCATGTATATGATATGGCTGCGAAATTTTGCACAATAACAGTACTATTTTGTTGTTATTATTTATCATTTCATTGCATAAAATACTATCTTTCAGATTTTACCTAGGATTCTAATTTAACTAATTTGTAGGTTTTCTTTTTATATCTTTAGACTAATGGATAAATTTTCTTAGCCAGCCAGATGCATCTAAAAGTGTTGAAATTAAACTTAGTATATGTGTTTGTTCTTTTCTTTTGTTAATTTTGGAGTTCAACTAAAGATTTTTCATTCCTAAAGAAGACTGCAGCTTTTAAAAAAATGAAAAATTCTCAACTCAATGATCGAAATAAATAATCAAGTGACAGAATCCTGAAATTTCTTTCCATTACCATTGGAGTAATTGATAGATCTTAGTTTTCAAGAGCTATTTATATAATATAAAAAATTTCCTACCAGTGTGAGAAATCACAGTATGTATCTCTGTTCGTTTGGGAATGAACCTGGGATAAGGGCTGTTCTTGACTGCCTTCTGTCCGTACTTCCTCCATCTGTATCCATCTTCAAGATGATCATTTTCACTCTTCGTCAAGAAAGCAAATCGCTGTTCTCTTTGTTGTTTCTCTTTCTTTTTTGGCTTGCTTCTGGAAAATTACAAGATTAACCACAGACAAAATGAAAAACACTATGACAGTGGGTATTTGGGGCACCAATCGAGGGGTTTAAAATGGAGTCCCTCAAAGGAAAAAGTTTTGCTTTATGCATGTGGCTCTTGAGATTTGAACCAAATATGAAATTTTTTTTTTACCAACCTTTAATCACACATTAATATAAATTTCTAGTTTCAGTCTTTATAGGTGGATCGATCCTCCTTTTCTCTCACTAAAAAAAAGTATTTTCTCTTCATGTATATAGAACTAGGGTTTGCAGCTTCCATATCTAATTATTAAATATAAACTTTTACTTTTAATAGAGAGAACAAGTACACAATTCAGATAATGAATTTTATGTCATACAGTAGATGGATCAATTAAGGTAAAGATGGACCCATATTTCCTTCACTTTCATCCTCCTACTTCTTACAATAACCTCAAAAATAACCTCATGAAATCCACAAATTAAGGAGAAGCAAGAAACTTACACTTCCTTATTAGACTTATCATTCCCATTTCCATGTCCTGTTGGCGGCTGCTTTTCTTTCTTGACTTTTTGGGAGTGTTGTTGGGCTGCTAAATCATTAGAAGGACAAGATATCGATGAATCTGTTGAAGGGTTTTCGATTTTGGTGGCTGCAGCAGCATCAATTTTCGTTGAATAACCTTGGATAGGACAAATTACCTCAGACATGTCAAAGGCTGTTGGATAGTCCGTAGAGCCATGTAAGTAGTCGGTGAAGCTCATGTGCATGAGATCGAAGGCTTGTAACGAGTTTTGTGTAATCAGTGTTGATGGTTCAGTGTATGTGAATGAATTATCGATCAAGAACGGAAACGCAGCTTCTCGGATCGGTCCGTCATGATTATAGTCAAAAGGATCATATTGGGTTGAACTTTTCTTTTCATTTGGCATTGACTTGAAGAAAAGAAGATAGAAGAAGAATAGTGTAGAAGGAGTAGGGAGATGATATGTATCTTACTGGAAGCTTTGAGAGATAGAAAGCTTTTAGAAAATTTCTATTTTATACATTATAAAAAATAAGTTATTGGGTCCAATTCCAATTCATATAGATAAAAGTAGTGCTCAGTGTAATACAGTAAAACCAATCGAATCAAACCCCAATGAAACACAATCGGTTGTTTCACTTTGATTCGAGGTAATTTTTTAAAAATATTTGTTTTTATTTCAATTTTAATGCAATAACTCAAATTTTTAGTTTAGTTTAATTTTTATTATATAATTGATGTAATCTAAAAATCATGTCAAAATAAAAAAAGTAAACCCAACTAAATCAATTTGATCTGGTTCTGAAAATAATTTGATTTCATTCAATTTTCTTGTAAAAGAATTTTACTTATTGAATATATATTGGCTCGAACCGAATAGAATGCTCTCATGCACACATATAATTTACTAAATTAATCCAATTGTTTGTTTTTTTTTTTTTTTTTCGTGAACTCGAATAGAATGCTTCTCATGCAACCATATAATTTCTACTAAAATTATCTCCAACTTGTTGGTTTTTTATTTTTTTTTTTTTTTTTGAGTTTTGGGGGGAGGGTGGATTCATAAAATACATCTAATTTATAATTGTTAAATTAATCCAATTGTTTTTTTTTTTTTTTTTTTTGAGTATTGGGGAGGGTGGATTTAAATCTAAATTTATTGTTAAATCGTATATGTACTTACCATTAAATTATACCTTGATGTGCAAATCAATTCTATTGTTATTTAATCCAATATCCTTGTAAAAATTTGATTGATTCAATTTGTATATCTTGGTGAAATCAACCTCTATCTCTCTCATTAATATTACCACCACTTTTACCCTCTTGAAACAGTTCCAAATCGGGTGTATCTGGTCTGGCTCCAAAGAACAAATGCCCAATCCCTTTCCTTCCCATGAATTACGCAGTTATGAGATTTTTTTTTTTAGTGCGTCTAAGAAAATGTAGTTGCTAATGCACCGTGACGAAGCTATTCTCTTTATAATCAATTTCAAAGAAAATATTAAAATTCTCAGACCCATATGCTCATTGGTTTTATTAGCAATATATAATTATTTTATTAATTTATATCTAGAAAAAATTTAATTTTTCCAAAAAAAAAAAAAATTTAAACATGAACCATTAATTCTCCAAATAAACCCGACCTACTTGTAAAGGTTAAATATAAATATCTGGAAAATCTTAATTTGCATAATGTAACACCCTTCTTGAGATAAGAAGGTAAAAGGAATCCCTAAAAACACATTAGAGCAATTTATCTAATCAAAACCAAGCTAGAAAATCATTAGATGTTTCAACACTCTTCTTCACCAAAGAATCTATAAAGCAATTTTCTCCCTTAAAAACATGTTGAAATTGAATATGAGAGAAATTAGACGGATAAAATCAAATTTATTGAATATATTCAACATTTCTAAGACATTTTCCATTACATGTTACCCAATAAATCGGACTTTTTCAATCAAATTCAATAATTAAATGATGATATTTTAAATGAAATTGCCAAAACAATTCAAGTCTCTTAATAATAGCATGTAATTTTGCTTCGTTTGAACTGATAATACCAATGGATTGAAAAAAAAAAAACAAATTCAACTCACCTCATCCTTGATGTTTCTCAACTGATAGGACCTCGTTTTCCTTTTATTTAATTAATATTTTTTATTCATATAATACAATAGAATAAAAATAATATATTCAATTTAAAAATATGTATTATATATAATATATAAAAAATAATTATATTTTTAATATTCATTTACAGTTTAATATCAAGAAGTAGCAAAATTAATACAGTAATATTTATTGGTTAATCTCTATCTACCGACGTAAACAATTAAATTGAATGAACCCTAAATCATATTGTTTATGATGCGGAGCCAAGCTTATAGGAGATTAAGAGAAAATTCGAAAATTAGGAAAAAGATCCAATTCACTTTTGTTATTGTTAATCTAATCTTTATAGTTATTTAGAATAGTTAAAAGTATCATATTTAATTTTTTGCACCAATGTACTTACAAAATGGACATCCTTGCATAGAAATTTATTAAAATTATAATGAGGATCAAGTTGTATTATTTATTAAATATACTTGTTGATGCCAGCTCAAAAAACTAGCGAAATAAGATGCCCTAATTGACAAAATTATTCCATTGAAAGGTACATATTACCAATACCTGGTTTGCTCCGAGAGGCACAAGAGTCAGCTAATGGAGATTTTGCAGTAAGAGAGGCTCGAATCTCGTGGATCCTTCACCCCTTCAGATGCTTCTTATCACGTCTATCCTTTGGGGTTAATAAATTGGAGATTTATTAATACAATTTATTTCAAAGATACTCTTGATACGTAGCATAGACTCATTTTAATTTTAGTCGGAAGAATACTATACATTTAAAATATTATATATCCTTTTCTTTTCTAATTTCCTCTATTCCTTTAATTTCTCTCATGATTCTCACATAGTTCTTTTTCTTTTTCTTTTTCTTTTTTTTTTCCGACTAATAAACCTTCTGCCCGTTAATCTACCTATCTCAAGACACTTCTGATAGAAAGAAGCCCAACCAACCAACCCTCTCCACTTTTAGCCAATACATTTATTCACAGCTTACGAAAACTTCAATTTGATAAGATGCATTAAATTATTATGAAAGCAGTGGGCATATGAAAACCCCAAATGGTCAGAAACCTGCTGTCCCAGTCCTGTAATAAAAAGAGGTGGGGATGTTAGAGGCAGTGACAATAGTCAATCGTAGGATTGGGGTTGAACGCGTGTTCAGGATTGGGCACCGTCTTTTTTGACCCAAACTCGCACGTGGGAGACCATTTCCCCTTACGCAATGCTGACTCGTCCTCTGCGTCATACAAGAAAATCTTACTTTTATATGTTAATTTAGTATAATAATAATTATTGGCACCTTTGTGTTACCGTTATTCAGAACAATCATTGAGTTAAAAAAATAGCCATTTTAAATAAAAAAACTACAAAATTTAAATAAAATTTATTTTTATTTTGTTGAGTTAAAAAAATAGCTGTTTGTTACAAAATATTAACAAAAAGACTTATTATTTTGCAAACAACACTTTTATAAAAACATGCAATTTTTTTTATGAAATATTTAAAAATATTAGAAAATATTTACAATATAACCTATTATTTGTAAACATTTTCTTTTATAAAATATTTGAACATATTACAAATATTGCCAATCAAGCAATTATTTTGTAAATCACTGAGTTTTACAATAGAAACAACTATCTGTTACAAAAGTATTAAAAATAATTACAAAATGTTAGTAATTAAAGTTATTATTTTGCAATCATGCAACTTAAAAAAAAAAGAAAAACAAAAGCCAAATTATATAATATATTTTAAAATATTACAACCACATATTAAAAAAATATTAAAATGGAACTATTATTATCTAAACAGTCAAATTAAAAAAAAAAAAAAAAAAAAAAAAAAAAAAAAAGAAAAAACAATCACTCTTACAAATATTAAGAAAGTAGTACAAATATTGACAAAGAAAGCTAATCACTAAAAAAAAAAAAAAAAAAAAAGAAAAACAATCACTCTTACAAAATATTAGAAAGTAGTACAAATATTGACAAAGAAAGCTATCAACTTTTTAAAAAAATTAGAAAGTATAATATAAAATACTAGCCAACGGAGCTATTATATATTTTACAATCAACCAATTTATATTGAAAATTATTATAAAAAATGATAACTAAAGCTATTATTTTGGCAATTTACAAAAAAAATCTCTTTTTATAAATTATTAAGTACTACTATATATATATATTATTTTGTTAATACAAGTCACCCAAAACTTATTGCAGAAAATCCCATACTTCACACACACCCGTCCAAGTCACTGGAAAAACTTGGCTGAACATGTCTTCATAAAGCAAAGATGCATACAGTAGTCTCCCTCGAATCAGGACAGTGTGAAATTAATTGCTTGAGAAAATCTGACATAATGCTACAAAATAAAGTTTTTCATATTTTTCAATTCACTATTACATGCAAATGATGAATAATGCCTTGGGATAAAAAAATATTCTTAAATTCAAATCCTTTATAAGTTTCATATTTGTAATATTGTCCCTTGTATATAAAATATTTAATGATAAAGGAGCAAAAGAAGTCTCAAATAAGATTCATATTATTAATTTTAGATTGATTATTTTGTTTTCGAAAATTAATGAATCGATAAAATTTTTAACGAAATAAAAAAATACAATTAAAAATAAATAATATTATTTGATATACAATTAGCATATCGGTCGGAGACTCTAACTAATGAGTCACTAAATTAACTTGTCTACTTATCGATCAAATAATGATATCGTTCTTCAGCTATTAATCCAAACATAGAATATTTAGTATAAGACCCATATAAAATTATAAACAAAATGTTGACAATCCAAAAGAATAATTCTTGGACCTGCCATGGTATTGACTAACCAAAGAAGACTTGATCGAAATGTCTATTGCCTCCACAATTGCTCGATCGGGAAAAAAAAAATGTAGAAAATGGCCAGATAAAGCTTTTAGAAATCTTCCTTCTGGATCTTAAAATGATGCTTCAAAACCCGATGAAGAATAAGATTCAAAAGCGGCCCCATAATAAAACCAAACCATGAAGCTGTAGAAGATTATGGCCATGAGTTAATGGAATAGACATCCCCTCTCCATGCAACAAATCACGATCCAACAATGAACCATGCACAACGTGTGGACGGGATTGTTCCAAATTATGATTACATTTTCAGTCAGAAGAAATGGAAGCAGATAATTCATGCCAAATACATTGATTCCTTGAGAACCAAATTTTCCATGCAATAATAACTACAAACTTAGAAATTTTGTCCTTGGAAGAAGTATTCAAAACCCTGCAAAAATAAGTCTTTGAAAATGACATGAGCATTAGGCATAGTAAATTAAAATTTTCTCATAACTCTTTAGCTTTATATCCCCAAATTAAAATATGTTTCTAAATTTTCCACCTCAT